TCATCTACCATGATTTATCCCTGGGATGCAAGGACAGCTTAGCAAATGCAAACCAAGGACTATGACACAACACATTAACAGAATGAAGGAAAAACCACAGGATCCTACCAAAAGATGTAGACACCGTATCTGACAAGAGTCAACATTCTTTCAGGAGAAAAGCTCTCCTTAAATTAGGGACAGAAAGAACATACATCAACACAATTACGGCCGTCTATTATGAGCTCACCATAACATCAGACTCAGAGAGATGGAAGGTAAGTGTTGGTGAAGATGTGGAGAGAGGGTGGTGCTCTGAAGTTTACACTGTTAACAGGAAAGGCCAAACCTCAGTCACACAGGGGAAACGCCCTGAAGAGCTCTCCTGAGCACCGTGGCAGCCGTGCCACGGGACAGGGCGTTACATACATGAACACTGCTGATGCAACAGACTTTAGAGTTCTCACCCCAAGTAAATGGTCAGAGTATGACATAATACGGATATTAATTAGCAAGATTGGGCCACTTCACAGTGTATACATATTTGAACCATCACATGGAACACCACAAATATACACGATGTTTGCCGTCTACTTAAAAATAACAATAGATGATGTTTAAATTACTGCAGAAAACTTACTAAATAAATAAATAAAGCCATACAAGGTTATTTTTATAACAAAATATAAGTTGACACACCTTGGCTTCCGAAACACGAAACTGTAGAGTTGGCAAGCCAGGCCCACGGTGGGGGTGTAAACGATCGGCATGAACTTCTCAATGTCCGACAGCAGCACTCGGTAAAAGAGCTTCTCATTTCTATCTTGGAGATCCATCAGGAGCAGATACCTGCGGAAATTGGGTAGAATCAGACCTAGATCCATCCCACAAAGTCACGAAATAGCTGCGCTGAAACCTACTTGAACATTTTCCGACCAAGTATAAAGTATTTTTTAGGTTACATAGAAAAACATCTGGTCAAAAAACTTTAGACACAGGCCAGGTGGGGTAGCTCGCGCTTATAGTCACCAGCACTCAGGGAGCTCAGGCAGGTGAACTGCCTGAGCTCAGGAGCTGGAGATCAGCCTGACCCAGAGCAACACCACATCTCTAACAATAGTCAGTGTGTGGCGGTGCCTGTGGCTCAAAGGAGTAGGGCGCCAACTCTATATGCCAGAGGTGGTGGGTTCAAATCCAGCCCTGGCCAAAAACTGCAAAAAAAAAAGAAAGAAATCAACCCCCTAAAAATAGCCAGTGTTGTGGCAGGCATCTACAGCCCCAGCTACTTGGGAAGCTGAGGCAAGAGGATCGCTAGAGCCCAGGAGTTTGAGGTTTCTGTGGGCTGTGACGCCACGGCACTCTACGAAGGGTGACAAAGTAAGACTTCGTCTCAGGAAAAAAGAAAAAAACTTTAGAGATATCCTTAAACACCTCAAAAAATGAAGAACCATAAACTTGATTACTATCATTCAAACATTAAAACCATTGCTGAAATAACAGTTTTATTCATTACTTAAAAAGACTATTCATCCCTATTTTAAAATGAAAGACAGGTGAAATACTAGTATAGATACAGTTTAACCTTAATTCAACTAAGTTAATAGGAAAATTCCATCCTTTAACCTGCCGTACTGAATAACCGAGGGAAGTGACCTGAGGAAGGAGAGGGGAACGTAACACCCACCCCAAAAACAGCTCAGGAGCAAGTTCAAGCTGCTTTCCTTCCCACTTGGCCTAGTCTTTCCTTGAGGCATTTCTGTACCAGACTTATCTGTCTAAACAGAGACCTCTTCACGTTACTTGTAGCCTCCAGTTGTTTACAGAATGAAACAAACTGCTGGTGTAACCCTAAAAGAATCTTTAAAAACTGCACTGAACAATCTTACCAGCCGTTTTGTTCGATTTCTAGTCCCTAGATAGTCAGAGACGTACAGACTCTTAACACTTGGCCAATCAGACAGGTATACCCAGAAAATGAACATTTGCAAGAAAGTTGATGACTTGAATTTTAGACATGATCAATAAAGCTGATTTAGCAATGTAGAAGTCATAATCACTAAAACAAGGGTGGATTCACAGGCCTGCTTCACTTACAGGACACCGGGCACAGGTGACATTTCTTTCCTCGACTTCCCACCCATCACATTCTCGTGGTTCCTCCCAGTCCACTTTTCTGTTTCTCTGTCATCTGATGCTCTTCTCGAAAGCTTTCTAGCACTCAGGTGTAATATGAGGTCTGACAATTAAGTTCATGAATTCGCCCTAGAAAACGTGCTACACACCCCACTGCTGAGTGTCACCGTGGTCCCCTTCAGGGTCCCCCTGGGGAAGCTGTGCCCCGACACCAGCGCCCAGTGCGCCCTCCAAAGCAATTCTGAAACTTTCTTCTGGAATGACCTGATGGGGGCTGGGGGTCCCAGTTTCCCAAACCCAGTTGACTTGGTTCCATCACTGGCTGCACTAGAAAGTTCAACCAAGGCCCGGTGCTAACTGAAGGTAAAAGTGAGTGAAGCTGAAAATGAAAGTAGAGCAGCAAGGGGGTCGGGTGTGTGTGAGCAGGGAGCAGAACTGACCAGCACAAGTGTCCGGGTCACAGGGTCTAGGGAGAGCTGGAAGTGGGTCCCTCTCAGCAAGTAGAAAAGGTGAGCGAGACGCAAAGGTGGGGTAGAAATACTCACGTGGAACTGGCCGGAGCCTCTCATAGGCTTCTCTGCGCGTCCAGGCAGGGTCACCCTTTCCTGTTGGTCACTGATGGTCTCTTTCTATTGGTCATTGGTAACCTAGGTCACCTCACACCCACATGCTACGGGCCCCCCAGACTTCCTGAGTCAGCAGCCAGGCTCCCTCCCACTCTGCTTAAAGCCCTTTCTTACTGTCCCATCTCAAGAGCTGCCGCTGTAAGGCAGAACCACCAGTAACAATAATGACCGCCACTCAGCAAGACTCAGCCACACGTCGACATCAACACAGCCGTGAGATGCAGATAACCCAAGGTTATGCAAGCTTACCGAGTTGTTAGTACAGTGCTGCCAATGTAACCACCATGGCAAGTTTGCAAACTTAATTGCCAGACCTCTTAGGATGGCAGCTCTGATAGTCATTCTAGAAAGAGTTCCAAATCTGCTTTGAAGAGTGGACTGCATGCTGGCATGGGTGTGTGGCTTCCCAAGGGGACAGTGACTAGTGATTCTCAGCAATGGGGTAGGCAACACTTTTTCTAGGATGAGTTCACAAACTTAATTGCTAGACGCTGTACATTAGGAAATTCAGTTGGCTTTACCTTCAAGATATATCCAAAATCTGACCACCTCCATTGCTACTACCCTGGATCCAAATTACCCTCAAATCTTGCCTGCATTATTCTAACAGTCTCTGAGTTCTCCTGCCTGCGTCCCAGGGTCAGCCTTGCAGCCTTCTGGAATGCAGCTTAGATCATCCTGAGCTTCTGTCCAAACCCTAAGAGGCCCCTTTTCCTCATTGTAACAGTAGACGACCTTAGTGGTCTGCAAAGCCTTACGTGATCCATCCCATTACCTGCCCGACTTTCCCCTCATCTGCCGTTCTCCTCAGCTCGCTCTGCCCCAGACTCAAGTCTCCCTGCTGGCCCTGAACATGCACACACCACCCCTCAGACTTCTCCGCTGCCGGCTGCCAGTGCACCTAAATTAGCACCTAAATTAGCAGACTTTGGACGAAGTTGATTATCCTCCCTCATGTGAGTGGGCCTCACCCAATCAGCTGAAGGCTTTATTTTTTTTTAGAGACAGAGTCTCATTTTGTCACTCTCGGTAGAGTGCCGTGGCATCACAGCTCACAGCAACCTCCAACTCCTGGGCTTAGG